CCCCCCACAACAGCCACCCCAGACATAAATGAAATTCAAAAACACGCCCCCTTAAAAAAAATGCTTTTAAAATGTTAAAAAGTTAATTTAATATTTTCCCCCAGAAGGAAATCTTGTGGGGCTGGCCCTTTAAGGAAGGGGGCAGAGCCTCCAACAGCCCCACCGTAGCTATGGGCCAGTCCTAGCCTGACACTCAAACCACGCGGTCTCTCTTCTTACCATCTAGCCTTGTTTTCCTGGCTGGTTCATGGGCCACAATTCAACTGCTGTGGCCCCCTTGAGAGAAAAGAAACAAAACCCCCCAAGGAGTCTAGTTCTACCAAGAGAGGTGCCCCAGGGTTCATATTTGCCCCAAAGCTTTTGACCCATGACGTAGATGTTTGTATCTACAATCCGTGGCCCTCTTGAGAGAAAAGAAACAAAACCCCCCAAGGAGTCTAGTTCTACCAAGAGAGGTGCCCCAGGGTTCATATTTGCCCCAAAGCTTTTGACCCACGACTTAGAAGTTTTTATCTACAATCCCACATTTTGGGGGGGGGGCTGTGTTTTTTTTCCAGGGGTTTTTTTCATGCAAACAACCCAGCCGTGGGGTCACAAGTTAGGACTGCCAGCTGCCTGGAGAATAAATGACCCCTTCCTTTAATAGAAGCTTAATGGGGTGGTATTTACAGAGCTTACTTCCACGCCATGAAAAGCTTCAGCAGCCCGTTTCCACATTAAGGCTCGTCATGCCGGCCACATGACCACGGAAAACTGCCTGGAGAATAAATGAACCCTTCTTTTAATAGAAGCTTAATGGGGTGGTATTTGCAGAGCTTACTTCCACGCCATGAAAAGTTTCAGCAGCCCATTTCCACATTAAGGCTCTGTTAAAAGGACCAGCCATTCTTTCTTCAGTCCTGTTGACAACCCTACCTCCAAGAAAGGAAGGGTTAAACCTCAGAGTTCCTGTCAAGCAGCAGTCTTCTGGGCTAGTCAATTTGATCACAGAACCGGATGAGGAGGGGTAAGATAGTCCTTGTTCATAGGGAATGAAATTGACTGACTGCGCAGGGGTGTGTGGCTTGTCAGCCTCTGCTATCTTTGTCAATTTCACCCTGAGAAGACTCCCCAACCCACCTCTCCCCAGGTGAAATTGATTAGACCAAAGGATTGTTGCTTTCTAGTATCTGGTCGAATCAGTTTCACTGAGGCCCACCCCATCTCTGCCAAGGTGAACTAGACCAGAAGACAGTGGCTTCCTACGATCCGCTTGTCAGGAAGACCGGCAGGAAACCCACCCAAAGGTGATCTAGAGGAAGTCGGAGAGAAAAGGTAAGGAGAAGGCCCCCAGACCTTGCCCTTACCATATGGTTCTGGCTTACCCTCAGCACCCAGGCTGGCAGGCTGGACACCATAGGGCAGCTGGCTGGGTTCTCCTGTGGGAAGGAAGTGTTTAGGTCTTATCTGGTAGAGGTGAGATGGTATGCGTGGAAGTGTGACCTTACAGCTTGCTCTTATCTGCTGCCTAGAAGCTCAGTCTTGCTTTCCATCAGGGCCACTCGTCACTGCCCAAAGCTGTCCCCTTCCGGCTCTGCATCCCACCCTGTTCATATTGCCATTTTGTTTCTTTGACAGAGGCTTTATAAGAGCTGCACGAGAAGCAAAAATTCAACATTCCTATTGCTGTCCAGGCTGAAGACTTATTGGAGAAAGGGCTGTTTTACTTTGATGTACTCTCTGTCTCCTCCTGGTGGCCAGAACATATGACTGCAGGCATTTAATTGCTTTTGCTGGCCCACAAAGTGTTTTTACACACCTGAGAATCCAGGGCTATTACTGTCTCAGGGATTGGGAGTATCCTGAGATGACACTCCATCGCTATACTGGAAGAATCTCAGTTTGGTTTCATCTACACACCCCTAGTGAATGGCCTGGAGCTATTCTCTATATGTCTTTCTATGGAACACCAAATCACCCAGGAAGATGTAAAGACCTTTCTAATATTTACGATTGGATTGAAGTTGAAATTTGTTGCTAATGCCTGCAGATTAAAGGCACAGGAGCAAGGGCAAGTTAAAAAGTTGGCAACCCGATACCAGAGGCATCAGCTAATTTTTTGGACTCTCTCTTGACTATTTTTCAGTGCTACCATTCTGCAAGATAGTTAAATGAATGAGAAGGTGGAGGCAGCCAGTCATTCACCCCTCTTCACTAATCTCTTATACAATTGGCTGTAAATATGACTAGATTTTTAACCCAGCATGCTTTTCATGCACGTTTTACTTCTTTTCCCTGCCATTTGAATGAAGAGTTCTCAAAAGCTTGTGTATTCCCATGCTATCCTAATCCTGATTAGATCCCAGAAGATATATCATTTTTGGTGCGATTCTAAGCAGCACTATCCCTTTCTAAACACACAGACTTCAATTGACTTAGAAAAGTGTAACTCTGTTTAGGATAGGACTGCATCCCACCTTTGCATCTTTAATTCTTTGGAACCAACATGTCAACCAACACCCAGTGAAATACGTCCTTCATTCATGTAGCTAATCCTTAACGATTATTTTTAATCCTGCTTTTCAAAAAAAAAAAACCCTGAAAAAAAGAGACTTGAAAAATAAAATGCCAATGTGAATTACAATTCAATATACGTGTATATTGCCAACCTAGCAGTTCGAAAGCAAGAAATTGCAAGTAGATAAATAGGTACCACTTCGGTGGGAAGGTAACAGCGTTCCGTGCGCCTTGGTGTTTAGCCATGCCGGCCACAAGACCATGGAAACGTCTCCG